AAATACTTACAGAACGCGACCGCATCAGTCCCAAATTACATCATGCCAGGCGCGTCGCCAACTGACGAGAAAGCCGGCCAAAAGAAATCGCAAAACCCTGAAAAGTCAGACGGCAACTCACCAGTCGATACTGAGAGCGTGACGTTCTTGCTTGACTCACAGCAAACAATACTCATCAACAATAACGACCTTTACCTTCCTTGCGCTTCTTACATTGCCCGCGTACACACCGACAGACTACACTTTAGTGGCTTGGCACAAACGGTGAGACTAGAAATGATAATAAACGTTTTTCTATCGCTACCCACCTTCTCCTCTACATCTCACAAGATTTCACAGAAGATGTCTCACTCTTTCGTTCCTACATTTAATGGCACCTACCAGCAAGCAAACTGCGTGAATGATGGTTCTAACCAGCACAATACCTTCGGCTCAGCTCCCGATAGCACTACGCAAGAAGATCGCCAACCCACCGTCGTAGCTCCACAAAGCATCGGGGACCGGATCATCAGTCTGCTTGATCCACTACGCAAAGACTTCAATGCCTACGATGCTGAGACAACTCCTGCTCTTGATAGACGTATCACAACTATAAGCCGTAAGTCGTTCCACACTCTTCCCTCACCTTATTACAGCTTTTCTCTCACCTGGATCCTTTTCGCTCACACCTAATTATTCGTGTCTTTCAGACCTAGCTAATAGCTACTATAGAGAACATCGCTGCTCTTATTGCCAGCAATGAAGAGAAATATGGGCGAGTCACAAAACCAGAGAACGTTCATGTCATGACTCGGAACTTCAATAGTAACGACGGTGTGGTCTATCTGGGAATATTCGTTACTGGAGCCAATGTTTTTCATGAAGTGATAGGCGTTGACGTCGAGGACAAGAACGATGCCATTGAAAAGCTTGGTTCTAAGATGGAAGGAAAGCTTGGGCGCTCTCTCGATAAGCGCTGAGTGAGGAATGAAGTATCTGGGGTGAGAGAGAAGTATCAGCAAGCGCTACATAGTAGTTTCTTGTATCGTAACTTTTCTCAGTCTCATCAAGATGTACCCACTTTATGGTTCAATCAAGTTTGTATTCGCTACTTGTGACTTATCCAGCTCCTCTAGCATGTGCATGCGGATAATGAGAAGGTTCAGTTTTGGGGTTCTTGGTATCGATGCAAATCGTTTGGTTAGCGCAGAGATTACGAAGTTGCGCTGACGGGGTAAAATAAGTGCCAAATCACCATGTAATTGACAAAGAGTACCTTTGCTGTCCAGCGCCAACGGAACTATGCCCAAGACAAGTATCAGAATTTACTTCTTCTTCCCTTTCTTCTTCTTCTCTTTGATCGTGAACTCCGCCGCTGGCTGTGACTTCTTTATATCTGCCTCGAGTACCTTCAGCTTCTTCTCCAACTCATCGTTCTTCGCCTTCAGTGACTCGTCTTCCTTGTTGACCTTCTCGACCTCGGCTTTGAGTCCATCAATCTTTATGTTCTTCTCAACGCTCAGCCTGTTGAACCTCTGCTCCGGTGTCTCCTCTTCCAGCTCCCGCACCTTGTCGCGCAAAGCAGCTAGCTCTTCGGTGTGCTTGGTATCTTTTCGAGTGAAGTGTTGACCGAGTTTCGCGCATTGAGGACATGAGCGCGGGTTCATTCGAGCTTGGCAACAATTGAGTATACGGCCAATGGAAGTGCAGAATGCGCAGTCTGTGTCGGTCTTGATGTCGGTCAGTTCGCTGCTAGATTGAGATGCATATGGACTGACCTGAGAATCTGCAGTCGTAGGGTAGTGGTCATCGGGCTTGACTGTGTCATGTTGCTCATCATCAAGAGACGATGTAGCGATGGGTTGGAAACTAAATGGTTCAAGTCTTGCTACTGTAGCCTGTAAAGATCTGGTCGTCTTTGCGTCCAGACTTTCCGAGGAAGGCAACATCGCTGATAGATCGTAATATAGCTGCGGGTCATAAACAGATGTAGGATTGGTGTGACGCGCTTGAATTTTATCTTAGTAAGAAATGTTCAGCGCTAGTGACGTTGATATCAATGAAGGTAATTGTGTCTTAACATGTGACACATGTCTTGAGCTCCACCTCTTTAGATGCACGTACCAATTCTACCTATCCTGTTCCTGAAAGGTCAGAGCTTTGATCTCGTGTTGCCTGATTGCGTTGTTCTACAACAAACCCCGCTGGAACCAACCTTAACTTCTCGCGACTGCGCCCTCCCGCCTGACATATCATCAAACGCGCTCAGCTCCCACCTCCATAGGATCGCCCGATCACAGACGGATCCAACTACGTGTCTCCCCTGCCTTGAATACCCCCGCAACAACTCACCCCCAATCCTCCGAGTCCTCAGCAGGCTGTTCGCGAGCTAGAAGGCCAACATGAGCGTTTGGCCTTCTATGGATCAGCCGCGTGCGCCTTTCGGAAAGTACGAAGTCCACTTTGACGATCTCGAACAAAAAACGCACGGAAAGATCTCCGCGGAACTCAGCAATCTGAAGAATATCCTTATTGCGCTACCCAACAAGTTCAACGATGCGGCCAACGCCATGACAAAAGCCAGTACTCACAAGGCACGCTCGAAAATGCAATTGGAACAACTGGATGATTTAGGCCATTTTATGCCGGAAATGGTTCATGATACAGCTTTCAGACAACACCTGAAGAACGAATCCGATCGGGATTTCCATGAGTTCATGGACATACGGAAGCAATGGGACACTATGGCTTACGACACAAGAGACGGGATCGCGGAAAGGGTGTTGTTATTGCTGGAGGCAATCATCGAAAATGCGTCGACTGAAGCAGAGAAGGTTCTTCAGCAGAAGTTGAAAGAAGCGAGAAACGAACTCAGCGAATTGGGATCAGCATCTGCCGCTATGATCCAAGGACTACTGAGCGAAAGAGAAGAAACAGCGCGAGAGGTAGCAAAGGACAAGGCCACCATCGCCAAGAACGAAAAAGCCTGGAGACAGGAGTATGAAGAGATCAAGAAAGAGTCCAAGAGAGACCTACAACAGCGCGTTGAAGAACGCGTACGTGACGAGAAAATCAAACTCGCCGATCGTCTGGGCAAAGCAGAGGCTAAAGCTTCCCGTTACGCTAAGGTTCTTGAGGAGAAGGAAGCTTTGGAAGCAAGAGTTTTGCAAGAAAGCCGGGAGAAAGCGCTGCTCAAGCAAGCGAAGCTAGAGTGGGAACAGAAGTATAAGGAACGAGATGACGAGGCAAAGGCTGTGCAACAAGGCTACGACCAACTCAGCAACGACATCCAAGCTCTTCAAACAGAGAATGCGGTACTCCACGCGGATCACGACGAGTGGAAGAAGGAACACGAACCACTACCCGAAGAACAAAAGCCCAGCTCTGAGTGTCGCCATGTTGATCAAGATACCATGGCGCTTCCACACGTCTCATCCACAACAGCGTCCGATCGACAAGCCGCAGAGCTTCAGCATCTAGACGGACTCGTCACCATCTGGCAGACCACTCTCGAGAATACGATTGCGGAGATGAATGAATCAGTTGGCAGGAAGGAGGCACTTGAGGCAAAGATTCGAGAGGCCGAGGAGCAGCTGGAAAAGTTGAAGCCTGCTCCCTCGCAAAAGGCACCTCGCGGATCGAAGATAAAGAACAAGCCTAAGGGCGCGAGCAAGAAGGAGCAAGCTGTTGTCAACGAGAAAGCAGATGACGAAGCCTTACTACAACCATCTGTCAATATATCCGGAGGGCTTCCCAGAGTTTGTATAGCAGCGGAAGCTTTCCCTGCCCTGAGCTCTCCAGCGGTACCCCAGACCATCCCGTCGACCACCTGGAGGAGCCTTCGTCTCGTCGGCATTCCGAAAGAAGATGCCAAAGACGTTCGAAAGAAGTCTGGCTAAGCTCCTCTAGACCGAAAGCTACGTGTTGCGAAAGAGTTTGGGGTTAGACGTGGCGGAGTATGGGGTACGCGCACGATGTGGTTTCACGGTCTGACGAGGTTCATGACTCTCGACAATTGAGTGTATTATAAACGAACGAAACAAAGAAGTTACATAACTCCTTCGGAAATGTAGTATCGTGTGCATATACTGAGCTGCCGCATTGAAGTTGCTCTTGCGCAGACCTCAAGATGCAGCCCGCCCGGGCGCGACTTCCAGGGGACTCGAGTCTAGTCCTGTCTTGAACTAGCGGCATCGCATCCCTGTCCGCTCACCGAACGCGACTTTGGAAACAGCCATCGCGTCCAAGCACTTTCGTCGCCAGACTTCTTACAGGCTTCTAATACTTTCACAACAACGAAGTAAGCCTTCCCAAATCTTATCGATCATGGAGGCTTCGGAAGATCGCATCACGGAAAAAGTGCAGTCGCTGAGTGATCTGGAGCTTGCCGTTCTCATCTGCTTGGTCGCGGATCAGCATTGCATCATCGAAGCGGAAAGGCAACTGACCCGTGATGTTCTGGAGGAGTTGAAACTTGTGAGTTGCTTCGCACTGCGCGACTGCCCGCGTACTTACAACAATAGGTCGCTACCAATACTTTCGGACTAACATGGGCTGTACTGGAATGCACCGAGCACACCACGCTGGACGATTTCGGAAGCGGAATCCTTGTGAGAGGAGAAGAGAACGATTATTTCGGCAACAAAGCTGGGCGTGGTAGAGGAGAGGTAACTTGTGCTCGTGTAGACTGGTTTGCCAGCGATTAATGTCTAGCCAGTTTTCGTCCATCTCAGTATCACCTGGGAAGCCTGGCGGACATACATCGAGGTCATCCAAACCGTTCTGTCCATTGGACAACCAACGCATCGCGAACATTGTTATTGCAAGAAACCTCAACAGGGCGAATCCGCAGGTCCAAATTCAGGCCTTGGAGGTGCATTAATCGTCTTTTCTGCTCGAGCATAACTAATGATAGACAGCTGATACGAGGCAAGCGGAACTTCACGAGGACAGCAGTACATGCGGCTCCGAAACCATTCCTATTCATCGCTTTGAATGCTTCAGATACACCGCGCCTGACAATGCATTTGGTATGCCGAGCCTATAATCTAGATGCAAAGTCTAACAATGCTACAGAATGACCAATTCTTCATCTCACACAAGCATCAGGCAGATGATGGGCTGCCAAATCTTGAAGAGCTACAGGAGAAGAATCATGCATTAGACGACGGCGCATCAATGTCTTCCGTAGTCCGCACGCCGCCATTCCAGCCGGGAAAGCATAAGCCGCAACAAGCATTATTCCTACCTGATGTATGTCGACCATAGTATGCCTGTTCTGTACTAACAAAGACAGGACCTTGAGACCTTGACGAAGCTGGTGTCGCAAGTCAGAATCAGCTCTGAAGTAAGAGCCTATCTATACAACATTATCGTGTTCATGCGGCTGCATCGAGCAGTTGCAGGAGGCATCTCTGCTTTGGCCACGAGGCACTTCAACACGCTGGCACAGTAAGTAGTCCACAATCCCAGCAGAACAGTATTGACAGCAGTAGCACGCTCGCCCCACTCCACGGCCTCGATTACATTTCACCGTCCATGATCGCCCTTGCCGCTCGCAAGATATACCCACATCGCATCGTCATTACTGCACCAGAGAACGAGCGCAGCATGCAATGGGGCAGCTCGCTCGAGGCAGTCAAGGCTGTCCTTGAAGGTGTCACGGTTGAGGATGTGATCGAGGAAGTGCTAGAATCAGTGGAAGTTCCGCTTTAGCATCCTTTGTCAGCAAGACTACCACCACGAAAACGATGGTGGTTGAGCAAAAGGCATGAGTAAGGACGCCAGCGGCTGATCTCATCGGCGTTGCGCGGACATGATTGGAAGCAAGCGGGGCCGGGCGTGCCTGCCCCTCGGAAAGTGGGCCGAGAACCGCAGTTACTGTTGCACTTTCGACATTACGCACGCGCTACAGCAAGGCTACAAAAGGGCAGCCTTTTCTCTTGGCCCTTTCAATCGCAGGACTATTTGCGCACTTCAGCCATGGCGACGAGTTATTTCGATCAGCTGAGCCCTGGCGTTCAGGAAGCAATCGAGGTACCTATGCACCCCAACCGTCATAACGACGCGTTGAAGCTAACTTCCTCATGGAGAGCGAGCTTGGAGACCAAGACACCAAGAATATCACCAAAGTGACCAGCCATGACGATGCGCTAGAGGTACCTACTCCACTGCACCCTTCCTCCGCGCGCTGACCAATAATCGCAGGTCGTCTTCGAAGGCGGATATAGCGGCCATCGTCGCAAAGCCTCGCTCGCTCCCCCACCCTCTGGCAAGATGACGTCCCGCCCCGAGAACGGTCGCCGTACCACCGCGTGTATCGTACACTCCCTTCTCGAAAAGCACGATGGCTTGCCCGTACAAGATCACTCCCAATCGCACGAAGGCCTCGCGCAGGAACGGCGCGTCGACAAAGACCCAGCCTCGGCGCGCTCGGAGCAGACGCAACATTCGCGGCTGTTGACCAAGAAGGAGCTGTCAGATATGGCATTTGGGATACGCGAGCTGTCCAAGAAGCTGTCACAGATCAGGCTGAAGCTGCATGTGAAGAACATCTTCATCCTCGGCAAAGCGCACGACGAGGCCTTGATCAAGAACTCGCGCGAGGTGACCGACTGGCTTCTGCGGAAGAGCTCGGAGCATACGGTGTATGTGCTAGTTTTGCCTAGCAACGGACACGATTAACGAGACATAGCTACGTCGAGCAGACGCTGGAGGACAACAAGATCTTCGACGCTGCTGGGCTGTTGGAGAACGAGGGGTTTCAAGGGCGGCTCAAATTCTGGACCAACGAGATGTGCGCTCAAAAGCCACAAACCTTTGACATTGTCCTCGCGGTAAGACATGTCATACTGCAGAGTCTTCAAGGCTAACGACAACACAGCTGGGTGGTGACGGCACAGTCTTGTATGCGTCATGGCTCTTCCAGCGCATCGTACCTCCAACGATTTCCTTCTCGCTAGGCTCGCTCGGCTTCCTCACCAAATTCGATTTCGAACTATACCCGCAATCCCTATCTACCGCCTTCGCGGACGGTATCACCGTCAGCCTGCGTCTCCGCTTCGAAGCTACCGTCATGCGATCCCAACAACGGGACGGCGAGGGCCGCGATCTGGTCGAAGAACTGATCGGGGAGGAAATCGACGACCACCATACCCACTACTCCGATGGTACACATAACATCTTGAACGAGGTGGTCGTAGACCGGGGCCCAAACCCTACCATGTCGTCTATCGAGCTGTTCGGAGACGACGAGCATTTCACGACTGTGCAGGCTGACGGGATTTGCGTGTCTACGCCTACGGGCTCGACTGCGTACAACCTTGCTGCAGGCGGATCGCTCTGCCACCCCGACAACCCTGTGGTCCTCGTTACCGCCATCTGCGCACATACGCTCTCGTTCAGACCTATCATCCTTCCCGATACCATCGTACTCCGATGCGGTGTACCGTACGATGCGAGGACGAGTTCATGGGCCAGCTTTGACGGCAGAGAGAGGGTCGAACTCAAACCGGGCGACTACGTTACGATTAGCGCAAGTCGCTTCCCGTTCCCCAGTGTGCTGCCACTGAACAAGAGGAGAACGGATTGGATCGATAGTATATCGAGGACGCTACAGTGGAATAGCAGGCAAAAGCAGAAGGCGTTTAAAGAATGGACTTCTTAGAGGTGAAGCTATCTGAGTAGCTCTTGAATTGAATGCATCACCATCACCCTTTTCAAGGAAGCGGCGTAATCGTGTCTTTTTGCTGTTTCCCTTTTTTGTTTGCCACACGCGAGGTGGTATGTGCAGCCCCCGACCCGCAGACGAGGCCGGCTCACTGCAAGCCGCACGCGACACTCGCGCGACTTTTTGTCACGTACTAGATTACGAAGCTACTCCACTAGAGTCCTAGGTGTCCGAACCTCAGCTGCAGATTCTGTCAGGATGGCTGTGTGAGTTGGCCTTTTGCATGTCGTTCTTTTACTGATAAGGACTAGACTGTGTGAGCGCTGCGGCCGCTCATACCGTACCTTCCGCGCACTCGCGCATCATGTCCGCGATTCTCCGCACCACAACAAATGCCCTGAATGTAAATTTGATGCCGCTACCTGGGATGAATTGCTCGACCACTGCCGCGAAAAGAGTTGTCGCGCAGTGTGCCAGGAATGTGACGACGGGAATGGAATGCATTATGATCCTCTATCAGACGAGTACTGGGACCATGTCGAAGAATTCGATGTTTGCACTGTTTGCGAGAAACACTCCATTACGCCAGATCATTTTCTTCCGGTAGAGTACAAGCTTGTGACAGTCAGTATGCGTGGTGTACTGAGGATGCGCAGCATCGGCATATTCGAATTCCTCATCGTGGAAGGTATGATTGCTACCGATGCCCCCGCACGTTCATGACCTATAGTCGCATGGTAAGGGCCCATCTCTATCTCATATACACATTCGAACCAATTTCGCCGCTCACTATCATAGATCAAGCATATTGAACGTGGCACATGCAGCCAAATCGACTACACCGACCTCAACAAGCTGGCAGCCCGGTGCTACACATCCCATCATTTCATGTCCCACTGGACTCGGCCTGAGCTGCTCGAGAACGGCAAATCAAGATCTAGAGACAGATTCCTGTGCAACCCTTGTGTTGTGGCGATGCCGAAACTGTCAAGCTTGTTTCAACATATTGAATCGGAAGCTTGTGCGCAGAAAATGGGTGAGGAGCCGGGTTTGAGGCAGTTGACGAGATTTCTGAACAGTCGGCTGAACAGAGCATATGTGATCAGAGAATATCAGAGAGAGGAGGACGCTTGGCAGAGGATTCATTCTATGATGTATCGACAGGAGAGCGAAGGCACGTCTGAATGAGGGATACGCGACTGTTCAGCCCATGAGCCAGACAGAATTTATACCCAAAACGATTGACAGGCGCCACAAGATGTGAGATGTTGGGAATACATGTCCGCAGAAAGCAGAGAAGGACAGGCGCAACGAAAGGTTGAGGAATACATGTCCGCACAGAGCTGACGAAATACTAAGGCTTCATGCTAGCACAAAACTCCATCGAAATTCCCTTGCTCCTGTCATATGGCTTATTAGGATGTTCCTTGCACAATTGTTCCTATTACCACTAGTCAGTCACGAGCCACTCAAGACCCACATTACTTCACATCGACTTACTTCGTACATGAAAGCCTGGTTATCGCACCAAAGATCTGCATCACACTGAAAAGTAGGACCCACTGGTTGACTGAGATGTAGTCCCGCTTCATGACCGGCGCAACGACTCGTATCCGAAGTAATTGTCACTTTCCTCGCATTGTTGAGGGGCTCTCCGTCCGTCGTGCCGAGGCAGTCTATCAAGCTCATGTCGTAGAAATCACCGGCGTATTCGATCTGAAGCGGCCATGTCAGGTCTTTCGACTTGGACACTTTCATTGTTGTACCTGCAAGCGTCCGTGAGGCGGATCCGCCGGCCGGCAGTGTTGTACCCTCGCCATCTTCAAGCACTACGCCGTATTCTTTGACGTGGACAAAGTAGAGATCGTAAGGGCAGTAATTATACATGGTAAGTGTATTTGGCGTACTGCTTTCGGGTCTAGCGAAGAGATTGAGTTGAGCGCTGTCTTCTTCCACGACTGGCAAAGGGACAGAGGAGGGGAGTGGCCAGTCACCCATGTCACAGGCTCCTTTCTTCATCATTTTCTCTACATCTTCTTTGCTCATGCGCTGCTGATCACCTAGCTTCAGAGGGGCGTCTCGGCGTGCCAGCGACTCAGGACCCAGCGTAATGAGATTGTTGGCCGGCGAGACATGTCGGTGAACGTGTTTGTGTCCGTGGTTGTGCGGCACTGCTGTGACGGGTCTCGGCAAGAGGAGGAGAGCTAGTAAGGCCGTTGCAATGGGCGAGCATGCGCGTAGTACGGCCATGTTGGAATTCCCTCGGTGTTGGTTTCTGGCACAGCGATATTCAACCGTGCTTCAGTAGTCTGCAGTTGGGTGCGCTATGCGTCGCTTTGAAGAGGTCGCTTCGATGAAGATGTTGGTATTACGGAAAGGTTTATAACGGCGATATTTGTATTAGGAGGGTGTTTGTGTATGAAAGAAGAAGACTGGAAAGAGGAGAAGATATGTGTATAAGAAGATATTGTTCATGACAGCGCAGTGCGTGACTGAAGAAGTGAGTAATCCATCATGAGTAGTTTATGGGTCAGTAAACACTCAAATCCTACATCGTGGGTTTATCTAGTCGTGGTATGCTTGAGTACGGCGATGACTTCGGGTCGAGCGCATGCAGATAATGATGTAACAATATCGAGCGGTAATCGTCGCGGTGTCTACGCCGCAGGACGTTGTACGGACGTTGGAGCCAACCATGGTTGGTGGTGCATGGGTACCACGTTGCGGCGAAGCTGCGCATGGGACTCCGCGATATCTGAGCGTCGCGTGCATGTCATCGGCCACCGGGCCCTCAAGTCCCCAACATCACGGCATGGTGAAAGCAGAGTTTGTGCTATGCTCTTGATTGAGACTCATAAGCGAACTATATGTTCCTGCTCGCAAGAGCTATCCAGATAAGGGAAACCACCGGCATCCGCTGCCATCCATGCGCCAGCATCATATCCCAAAATCCTCCAACGCCCCTCGTGTATGCCCTTGTTCGAAGAAGAAGGAGATAAAAAAGCCTTGAAGTCAAGAGTATACAATGAAAAGAAGACCAAAGAAGAGAAAAAACATGAGGCCATGTAGTTGTCTACCCCGAAAAGTAATCCAGGGCCTGCCGTAGATTGTTAGAAAGTGTTTGGAAGAGATCGTTATAGTCAGACAACACACACTCTTTTGCTCCATCATGTTTGCGAAAGAGATAGCCGGATCCCTTCGTTGGGTTGACACGGGAAAGAAAAGTTCAGGTCGTGACCTTATGATCGTAATTTCTTTCCACGTGGCGGCGACGCTCACGATCTGTTCTCAGCACAGATCTCAAAGGCAACGCCCTTGTCGATGGTAGAACCGCCAACTGGGGCGTCAGGCAAGTATCCGAATTCGGGAACGACGTAGGCCTGCTGAGCGCATGGCTCATTTGCGACACATTGGAAGACTGGGCCGTCCTTAGCAGCGGCTTGAATGCCCTTCTCGTGGCCGGCGCAATTGTCAAAGTTGGTGCCGTCCTTGTCCATGCAGTCGAGGTAGGAGATATCGTAAGATACCTGGACGTGGTCGTCCCAGACGGTGTACTCGAATTGCATGGGCTTTTCCATGCTCTTAGATTTTGCAACCTTGAGAGAGATACCGGACTTGTGGCATGTACGAATGGGTTCAGTATAAGTACTGTTAGCGGATACAGTCACGCAGTCGCTCCCGGGACTGTTGTCGCATTGTTTGTTATCGCCGATGGACGAGACATAGACGTCATAGTCGCAAGAGTTGACGATGATAGCCTGATTCGGGACCGAGTTGAGAGGGGCGTACATTCCATCTGGAGCAGGAGGAGCGCCGGAAGGAGTGACAGAAGCTGCGGACGTGGATGCGACGTCGGGAACGCCCTTCTGTGGAACCTCGACGGTAACGGACGGCTCAGGCAGCGAAGTAGAGACAGTAGTGATAGAGCAGCCGGAAGGCGCAGAGCTTGAGGTTGACTCAAGAGTGACGGTCATGAAGATCGTCTCAGTTACGATGACGACGTTGGTCTGCATAGCACGAGGGTTGACCTTCTCATGCTTGTGACTGTGCCGATGTCCGATATTCGCGCCCGCGGCGAATAGCGGCAGCGCGAGCGCAACGATGACGTTCAAGTGCATCGCGAGTGATCTTGAATGGATTCTGGACCTGATGGCGTAAGTAGACACGGGTTCGAGTGAGTATGGTGAAGCAGTTGAGTGTCGCGTGATGTGGGTCGGAGCAGGTAAAGGAGTGTGGGAGTAAAAGTCGCTGGGAAACTGTTGTTGTTATTGTTATGATCCTGCGCCACCCGGGGATCTGAAAGCGCAAGTGAGCGTGGATTACAATTATATGCCACGTTGGGGCGCGTTGGCCCCGTTGGACGGCCGGTGAATAAATGGGGGCCGGCCAATCAGAGGCCTGCCAATGGCAAGGCCTTAGATGGGCACAAACGGAGACGCAACACACACGGCCCCCACACGTTGCTCTCTCACGAGCCGGTGAAGCTCACCAGGTTGCACTCGCGTTGCGGTGGTGGGCAACGCACCGGGCGGCGGCGCACCGCACGTGCATGTTGGCCCCGAAAGTGACACGAGAGATTGAGGCGGGAGTTTGCCTGAATGTGAATAGTGTAAATTGCTTTGCGATGCAAACAAGAATAATGCTGATTTTAGCGAGACAACGGTGAAAAGAAAAGCACTGAAAAGTTCCAGGGTAAGACAAAAGTGACGGCCATGGCTTGTACGAAGTTGACTGCTAGACATGGAGGTAATCGCTGATAGACGCGATCCGCTCATCCAACAGGTCCTAGAGGCACAGAAGGCCTCGGCTCCTGTCGAGTTTGCGCATAGCATGAATACATTGGGCTGTGGCAGTTAGCTCGTGTTTGCAAGATCTAGACCATGACACTCACTCATCATATCCCGTCCAACCCACACACTTCCAACAGTTGAACAGATTTGTTGGATCGTAGCGCCTCTTCACGGCGAGTAATCTCTCGTAGTGCACCCCAAAGAACGTTTGTTGCCAGTTCTCCTCGGTCCAATCACCTTCGTTCGAGTAGCACCCACCATTCGGTGTGACGGCTTTCAAGATGTCCATTGTAGCAGAGACAGTCTTTTGGATTTGCGAGCGAGCCACAGGCGGTGTAGCAGTCGTCCAAAATTGGCCCATGACTATTTCCCATAGCGAGTCTCGCCAGATGGGATTTACGCTGGTCTTACCGTTGTCAGGAGTGTTGTCAGGTCCGGTAGCGTAGAACTGAGCGCCCCCACTGCCATAATTGGCACGTGAAAATTGCATGGCGGTGACGACTGCAGTGACGAGCCGGTCGATACTGTGGGTCGAGTTGAAGAGACTCCTGGGGATGAAGCGCCCTGCGCCATTGAAGCCTAGACCCACGGGTCCATTGCGAGATATCTCGGGTCTTTCCGTGAACTCATGCCACTGCGAGAACTTCTTGAAGGTGTGATACTCATTCTCGGTGATGCTGAGACCGGAGTAGTTTGTCAAGAAGTCGTGCCATTGGGACGTGATGTCTTTGATCGCCTCCGTGTCATTAGAGGGCAAGACCTGCAAGAACACGACACGATCTGACAGCAGAAAATTGTATCCAGCGATTCCATGCTTGGCAAATAGCGTTTGGTTTGCGGCAAGCCCGGTGATGATGTCGCGATGTACCTTCGACTCTGTAATGTTCTTCGGCGCGGGAAAGCGAGCTTGGAAGCTATATACGTTGATAGGGTCGGCCGGGTGGAGCTGGAACTTGTAAGATGTGAGCACAGCGTAGGTTCCCCCTCCGCCTCCGCGCATTGCCCAGAAAAGATCCGGGTCGCTGCATTCATTAATGGTGCGCTGTTCTCCGTCGGCGGTGACAACGTCGAACTCGACAGCTTGGTCGACCATTAAACCGTATTTGGGACCGAGTGGCCCATGACCGCCGCCCTGGCCGTATCCACCAGCGATGCCGACAGAAGCGACGGCTCCAACAGTGACATGCATGCCATGAGGTTCAAAGGCCTCCCACGCCTCCTGGGCCTGGACGCCAGCGCCGATCTCTCCAATGTTCTCATAGCGAGTCTGGCAGCCTTTGGGCTGGAACGTGTCGTGATACTGGGTGTCCTTCATGTTGTGAGTCCAGATCGCCAAAGAATTTGGCGCGGTTGATCGTCCGTAGTACTGCAGAAGTAGAGATACGAAGTCAGTATATGTCTCACATGCACTTCGTACAGTCAAAACTTACGTCATGTCCAGTATTCTTGATCGAAACGCGAATTCCATGCTTGCGCACAAAGTGCAAGGTCTTGCTGATATCATGCCCAGTATCAGCTTTAACATGGTATGAGGAGAGTCTACCAAGCGAGCAGGTACCGGAAACAGGTTCTGAGGTATTGAAAGAGTTAAGTGCACATTGCGACGTGTCGCACTTCTCCCAGTCGAGAAACTCCGTCGATCCATAGTGATTCGTGCGTGAGACGCCATCGCCGTAGTTTTTCGCGACCTCTTTACATTGCGTGCTCGACGGATCTGAGTAGCACGAGGCGGCCCAAGGTACCGTCAGTCGGAGGTTGCCGTTGATGCTCTGATTGAAAGCGTTCCATTCGTTCATGGTAGGCCAACAAGCCTCGCCCGGTAGACATGTGTAGTTGAAAGAAGTGGGGCTTTCCTGTGCTGGCACTGACAACATGGTGTCCTGGAGAAGGTATTGTCTGCAAAAGGTATAAGATCCGTACACGGCGAAGCCGCAGAGAAGGGGTAGTAGAACAACATGGCGTAGAATGTCGCTTAGACTTCGCTCCGCTGATTTTGTCGAGTTTTGGAAAGTCTCATCCTCCCTCTGCAGTTGATAGGCATGTGCGGCCTTCTCGTCCAACAATGGAAAGCGCTCGGCGTATGCCATTTTGCCAGCCAGTTAGTTGATCTTTCCACAGGTGTTGTGTTTGATGATCTCAAGTCGTGCTTTCCGTAAAGGAACTTTCGTTCAATTATCCAGATGGTGTCTTATCGAACAAGGTGCAGTCGTAATGAGCGGGTAAACGGTGCGAAGCCTTGTTATAAGGCATCATCCGTACAGACGCGAGCTGAGCCTGGGAAGGACTCAACGTCCCGCGAACGCATCAGGAGCGAACCTGCCGTAGCCCACATTTGGACAATGGTTGACTGCCTCAGCCTCAGCTTCCTCTTTTCTTACGCCTGGACTGGCCAATCAGGCGTCAGAGCACATCATTAATCGCATGTCCAAGCCAGTAGTCGAGCAGGCACCAAGCACCGCCCGCAAGATGCAGTAGGCAAAAGCTTCCCGATGCACATGATGTTGAAGGCTGATGTGGGGTGGTTCGGCGCGGGCGAGGGCGCGGTCTGGGTGGTGAGAGATTTGCCGTGTGCGTCCCACGCATTCCCAAAATCAGTTCCTGGCGCGTACCGCCTGCCTTTCCGCCTTGGCTGTGCACCGCAGCTGATGCAGGCTACTATATCGAATTGCGCGACCGATGTGACGGATGGACTGGACGTTTGGTGATGAGGCTGTGCCCCTGAAGCGCGATCTTGATGATGGTGGCCTGAGATCTGGAGTGATGACGTATACAAAAAAGAAGGCTGACAGACCAGGCAGCGTCAGAAGCCTGTGCGCTGAACATACTCAGGCAGGTGTCAACGACGAACTTCATAAGGCTGGATTCTTACATGCAGAAACGTATCGCATGTGTAAGCCTTGCGCGACTGCTTTGTACGCGTACAACGATGTGCCAGGTGGTCCCACAATCGAGTTGCACGACAGCATTACCCATATAACTATCTCTAACCTCCACCACACATGTACGGGCGCTTGTCAGATACAGCGCGTGCAACAGAACTTGCGATGTCACAAACGTGTGTTGTGCGAGTGTCTCTGAAGGATGGTGTACAATCACATGAGTGGAGTGATATTCACGTCGTCACGCTGTAACGCTCATATGCTAATAGTATACATGGAGGATGATGGAACAATGACCTTATTCATTCTCATCATAGTCATCAAAAGGCCAAGTAAGTAAGGCTCTCTCCAATTCCTCCGGGTCGTCCTTCAGGTTGTCCACTATGCATTCCTTTGCCTTGCTTGCTTTTTCTTTCGCGAAGTCAAAGTCTTCGTGCGATGTGTATCCGCTATGGGATACACCCATTTTCTCGCATAATTCTTCCCTAAACATGTTGCCTTCGTGCAATGACTTCCGCATATCTGCTCTTCTCTGCATCTCTTGCTCGGATATGACGATGGGGCATGGCGGAACCGCGCCGTCTGCGGCGGCAGATGCAAACACCGGCCATTCTTCCACAACATCCGCGATACCGATCTGGAGATGAGCATTGTCACCTTGCCACGGAGCGCCGGCATCGTGAAATATCTGACGTGTCATGAAAGTTCCGTCGTGTGTACAAGCCTGCCAATGAGGCTCGTTCAACATCTGAGTGAGGCCAAGGTACCAGAAATGTATGTGTCGTCGGCGATATAGTTCTTCTGCCCCAGCACGCTCATTTTCAGCCATAGAAGAAAGATTTTCCGGTAGTTTGGGCTCCGTAAAGCTTCGAGACTCTTCGTCTGCGTAGTTTGCAAATGCCGCTGGTATGTCCGCGGCGAGGAAAGCAGGGAGAACTTCGGAGTGCTGCCAGTCGATGAAGCCGGTGATTTGAAGATCGTCAGATATCAGTATGTTGTTAGGGGAGAGATCTGGATGTCGGAGGGTGGGAGAATGCACTGTCGCATCTTTAGGTATAAGGTGAGGTATGAGGCGTATGTAGTCTCCTAGCGAATGAATGTGATCTTGCGGGTCTTGCTTCTTGTATCCAAACGACTCAGCGTATTCGCGATAGAATGGGTGTCGCGGCCGTCCGTATTTGCGGATCCACGCCAACTCCTTCTCGGCATGACTTCGAAGAACGAGCTGAGGATCGACATCTATGTGAAACAGACTCAGCTAATTTCTAAATATGAGTGAGGAAGACTTACGAGGACCTCGGTCACTATCTAGATCTCCTCGTTCTCGATACCACCATCGCGTGGACGCGTACGGTCCCATACATAAACCGCTACTAGATCCCGGCAATTCTACCCGAGGGCTATTTGGAGGCAGATCGCGAGAATAGTATATGCTGCCACAGGCGGGAA